CCTTGCACTTGCCAGGCAAGCACTTATTCCACTGAGCCATCTCCCTGGCCCCACCTTGGCCTCTTTGATGGTGAGTGAGGACACGTGTCTGAAGGCCTGAGCGCTGCCTCACAGCAAGAGGCATCTGAGGCAGAACCAGTAACCTGAAACCAGCAGGGGAGGAGAAGGCTGGCTAGGGAGTGACCATGACTGCAGAGTGGGAAGCACAGGGGCTTAGCTTTGCAACATGTGGCAGTGTTGCCCCTTTCAGTCAGACAAGAATGTGGCAGGTGAAAAGGCTCAGGAGGCAGCACTATTCCCCAAGGGCATGGTGAAGACAAAAAGGCCCTTTCACGTGGATGGGAGCTGAAGTCCATAAACAGCCCAAACTAGCTGCTGGGTTGCTTTAAAAGTCAAGGAATCACTAAGCCACCGCTCCTCCTCGGGAGGCCCTGTCTACCTGATGCTGCGCCTCTGCAGAGAGCACCTGGCTTTAGTGTTAGTGCTCTGCACAAGGCACGTGGCTGTCATGCCCACCCAGGAGCTCCTCTCTTGATAAGCCTGTGTTCCAGCTCCATCCAGTTACCAGACAAAGACCCAGAGAACAATGAAGCCCTTGACTAGTTACCAGCCTCTGAAAGGTCTTTTCTGCTAGAAGATGTACAGTTGCAATATGGTCCCTTCTAATGCCAGGCTTCTGGGCACAGGCCTCCCAGTTGTGCCCCCCACGCCCTTCCAGTGTGGGCAACCCTCAGCACAGATCAGCACACCCTCAGAAACAGTTTCAAGTCTCTCAGGCAAATGACTATACTCTGAGTCCTACTATCTGGAACTTGTCAACTTATTACACAGTGAATCAAATATGTATGTTTTTATCATCATCTATCCATCAAATATGTCTTCAGTGCCACTCTGCCAGGGAACTAAACCTTAACTGAATACTCCCTGAGAGCTTGTAAGGCAGTTTTCCACAATGGCTCTGAAGGCTTGGCCACACTCAAACAAATATATCAAAGTCCTCGGGCACAGAACCAACATCAGTATATATTCATACTACAAAGGTGTCTCTTCTGCACATGTACCAGCCAAACTGAAATACCTATTTTGGTTCTAGTCACCACTGCTGTTTTTTTTTTTTTTTTTTGAGGAAAGGCGTGCTGGGGACTGATCCTATGGCTGTAGGCGTAATAAGCAATGTGCTCTACCTGAGTTCTACCCTAGCCTA